TGGGATACGACCCCCCCCCCTTTATAGCGTCCGTGAAACAAGAGAAATCAACTATCAAAAAAATTTTTCTCTGACCAAATACGACCCCCTCCCTCGCGGTCAAATACGACCCCCCTTGTGATGATCACAACGATGGCGTGCCTTGGTCCTGAGCTGGCGACACCGATAGATGGTGTTCGGAGCTAGATACTATCTGCCGGACGTTGGCACCTCAGCACTGCTCCCAAGCTCTCGAAGTACGTGCTGCAAAGGTGCAGTCTGTGACCTACTCTTACTTTTGATTGTCACTGAGGCTTTTGGAGAGCTTGAAAAATGCAGCAAATTTGTATAAAAAGTCGACAGATTGGAGAATTTCATCACTTTTTTCAGGCAAATACATTCAATGTCATCCTCTGAAGACGAACTTCCCTCCACATCGACGGGCTTCGGTGAGGAGGAAGTTCAACGTGTACCAAATGAGTGCACATCTGAAAAGGGTTTGTGTATGTTTCAATATCGATTTTTTAATTTGTCATTGCTTCAATATTTCTCAATAGTACTGCTACTATTTCACAGATCTGCTACGGTACATCTATGGATCTGACAAGGTGAAGAACAGACGTAAGTGTGAGTTTTAAAGCTTCTACATTTTTTAGTTACATCTTTCTTAATCGATCTATTCGCAAAAATGAAAGGGGGATTCTCAACACATACAGCTGTTCTGCTGCAGCCTGCGCTTTTTATACATCAGCTTGTCCTACGGTATAATCTACATGAAAGGTCTCGTGACTGGCTTTTGTGCACGGTCCTATTGAGAAATCCTGTCACGCAGAGTGAGAAGTCCCGGGTGGGTGAGCCGCTAATGATGCGTGAAAAGTCCGAGTTTGTGAAAATATCGTTCAGACGAGAGAGCACAGAGAAGACCAGGAAACTGACGCGAATAAAGGTAATGGGTTCAAGTTGTCCGTCGACCTGTAAGAAACATTGATTTTCCGCGCGTATCAAACGGTACTGATTTTTTAGTTGACAAAAAAAACCAAAAAAGAAACCACTCTCTTCCTGATAACAGTGCAAGTTGAAGGTATTATGCTCAATCGATTCGGTAGATCACATCGAAAACCGAGATGTACAATATCGCATGTTTAAATGTAATGTCCTAATTGGCTGGACTGTTGTGCCCGGTTCTTTGAACACACATTTAAACAATAAATTCAGAAAAGGTAACGTTTCTTCCACAAACAAAATGAGACCAGTTATGAGACCAGGGTTGCCAAGGGCTGAACTAATCCCCCGGCCGAGTTCCGTGTCACCAGCCAGAGAAATTAGCGCATGGTTTGCTTGAAAGTGCATGCCTGTTGGCTCAGGAACATGCAGAAAAAACGGTGGCACCACAAGTTGAAATCATGAAAACAGAGAATTATTAGAGCCCGAGTTCACGAGTTCATAGCTACTGCTGTAAGGGCATAGGAGTTTTGAAAGTCACTAATGAGAGGCACCTTGTCTTTTCCTGGATTTCTTTCGTGTACTGCGGCCCCGTCATCCGTACATAAACGTTTTCCATCATTCATCAGATTTGTCAGCTACATATCCAGGGGCACTAGGGGCGTGTCTGCGTACTTCCTTTGGGAGTGAGGATGCGCTTCTGGCCGAAGAAATTAGTTTTGGGGCAGTTGTATTTATGGCTTTGTCCAGCATCGTACAGGACTGTAGTTGTCTCAAAAAGAAATATCTAACGAAAACGCATCCTATTTGATCTTCAAATGAAGAATGCAGCCACGCCCTCTCCATCTCCGAGATAGGGAGAATAGCTACAAGGGTCTTGGTGTTTTATGAAAAGATCGTGCTCAAATTTATGGAAAAATAACATATTGTGCAATTAATGAATATGCATCCTTGTACTGAATAGTTCTGCTAGTCGGAGACATGAGCGCCTGACCGCAGTTACACTCCTTGACCCGAAGACGGGGTAGGCGTGGCACTTGATCACGGCATGGAATTGGATGCTCAAGGGATGTTTCAGTTTGAGACAACTGTCGTAATGTGGGTCAGAGACATGACCACAATGGTGTCAAAATGAAAATATCTCCCCACAAGCACAGCCCGCTACGTTGAGGTACGCAGCCACGCCTACCACGTCTCACGGGTTTTGAGTGCATGCCAGGAGAAAAGGGAAAACTCAGAAATTTCCGCGTCCAAGGATGGGTTCTGAGTCAGAGCCATTGTTCAGAAGCTATTAATGGCGACAATCAGCTATGTTGGAGTTGTAAGGAGCTTTCATTGCTTACCATCTGTTACACCTCATTATTCAAGCATATTAAATGATATTTATTGAATGTCCAAGCTAGCGTTTTTCTTTTTCCTCTCTAAATCTCCCTCGACATTTCCCTATATTCGTTCATGGTGCATGAACGCCTAACGCTCATGCTGTGCATAGCTACCCCCGTGTGACAGGGCATTGGGCGGAAAATTGCTGTGCTTTGGAGTTCCGTCCCGTCGTCTTAAGTGAGTGAGAGAGCATCGTGGTGCTAATGCCTTCATTTGCGACAATTTCGCCGTTTCATCAAGCGCTTTGTTTCGCTGCCACATCCGGCTAGAGGGACACACATACACTGTCACCATAAGTCTTCGTCTATATCCCATTCCCATGCAAGAAAATCCTGAAGGTATTTTTTGAAATATTTTTTGAGCTTGTTAGACTATTTGAGTGACAGTAACTTCTTTTCATCAATTAGCCTCATGTGTGCAGATGTTGTGTGACTACGTGCAGGGCGATTGGTACGTGTACCGCTCAGCACGTGCTAAGCATCTGCTTTGGTATCAATTCTGAGTCCCTTTGCTTTGTAAATCATCGGCAAGTCAGTAGCAGATATGTCTTGGCGCATAGGTACCTTGTATTAGCGAATGGATCGATAAAACTTCTTGTGTAGGCTCAGAACTCATTCAATCAAAAGTTTGATTCTGATCAAAGCAAACAAACACGGCGCATCCCAAAAATCGATCTGTTCGTGAACTCTTCTTACTTGGTGCTTACCACAATGATTTTAGCCGGTGCTACTGTTGTACGACATCCTGTCGATGAAACTCGTCCAAGTACGCAACATCACGAACCACCGTCGGCTCCCATTATTCCTGGAGATATGTTGGCCGCGAAAATTCGTACCTACCTTTCGGTGAGCCTTTCAGATATTGATCAGTTTCGGCTCAAAATAATCACACTTTTTTTATCGATTTTATAGCATATATCGTAAGAGCTTTGGTGTTGTTGACTACTTCTGGTCCATTTTCTATACGAGAGAATCGCTTGTCATACTATCCTTCAAACAAGTTTATAACCTTGTTATGCTACAATTATCTACGATGTATTGCTGTGATTTACTGGAAAAATGTTGGGCTTGTAATTGCATTGAAGTGAGGCAGACGTGGTTCAGCCAGCTCTGATTCCTCTCCCGCCTTAGGCTCGTTTCGGGACTAAGTAATTTCGGAAGGAGTAGGCTTGCGGTGATCAGTCACGTCCCTTAACTTCGAGGCTCAAACTTCCAATCCATGTTTCAATCCAGTGAGGGGTGTGGCTAGCTGCGACAACGGCGATGGCAGCGAGCGCCCAGACGAAAGAGATGCAGAGACGTGTGCACTGAAAAAAGAGACGACATGAGAATACGCAGCCGCCGCTAGGTACCCCTTTTAGTCCTCCGATGCGCACGATACCTAAGTGCAGCCGACCGATGAATTGGATTCTTCAGAGTAGGCATAGCTGCGCTTGCACCCCCCCCCTCCTCCCCTCCAAAGTGGCTGAAAGGGTAGCTCTTCTCGGCTAGGCTTTGCATTAACGCAAAACGGGGAGTTCTGCAGCATAGCTATAGGAGAAGAAACATAGAAACCCAATATGGGCACTTCTTTGAGCCAATGTCGTTAAAGGTGTTGCATAACCGATTGGCTCTGAAAAAGGCGTTCCAGTCCCAGTCCTGTCATTTCTCTATCCGTCTTGAGGGGCAAATTGATAGGTACAGTGGTATGGCTGCACGAGTGGCGATCCAGGAAAATAAAACAAGGGTGGTCCACAAGTATTTCTAGAAGGTCTAGTTCTGCTGATGGTTTGAGTGCCGTTTGTAAGTTTATTCTGAGTTTATTCTCATTTCGAAATTATTTTTTGTGTAATCTGTTCACTGCGGATGATGGGGCGGTCAGGGTGGATGGGTT